ACTGTTTGTTTGGGGGGGGGGGGGTTGCAGCCTTGGATAGCACCAGGAGGAAAGATGTTGCTTTTGTGAAGAGAACCCTCATCTCAAGCAAGGACACAGGCCACTGCATGGAACAGGAGATTTAACATTCAAGGCAACGATGCTGGGGAATGGTCAGCAGTGGGGAGAAGACCAGGACTTCTGTCTTGGAGGAAAGGCTCATATCTGCCCTCTCTCCTGCTTGTTTGCATATATCCACGGAATAAAATGTTCAGGTCTACATATTCATCATTTGGCCAAAATAAAAAAAAAGATAAAAGCTTTCCCCAAACCCACATTTTTTGCTTAACAGAAGCTATAAGACCACTGAAAACCAGGCCTTTTATTAAAGTGCTTAAGTGCAATCTTATCTGTGTACCTTAAGGCAACCGTGACTGTAAATTGTCTTTCATATTCAGAGTTACTATACCAGAGAAATGGTCTCTAGAAGAGAATCAAGATAGTCCAAAACTTTAATAGCTGAATAATACAGATCAGCCTTCAGGACCCAACCTTGAGCCTGACATCAGTCTTCTGTGCATGAGCTTCAAAGAAAACCATATTTAGTCCTCTAGGACAGTAAAAAGATTGTTTGAAGTTAGTAAAGCACATGTGTAAGTATTGGCAGGCTCAGGGCTTTTATCCGCAATGAATACAAATGTCTTACCATGTTAGAAGTCATTATTGTTTAGAAATAATAGTTGTAAATGTTTGAAGCAGATAGCCTTTGAAATATGCTGGTTTGAGTGGTTCGTTATACTGTACAACTTTTGTTTGTCTCTATGTATTCTGAAAGGATATTAATATATCTTTTAAAAAGAGTTTAAGCCTTTTCGTCCTTTCTTGTTTTTGAAAGGAGAAAAAAAAATGTGTTTCCATGTCAACTAAGATATTTGTTCATATGAATTAGGACCATTGTGTAATTGAGATTTTTTTCAGTGTGAGATATGATTTGTTGAAGGTCAAGATGACTCCTGCTAAATGGACTTAACTGGTTACAGTTTTAAAATGTAAATCATCAATCCACTCTCATTCAAACATGTTCAGTAACATGTAAGTGGAAATTCCTGGAAAATTATTCTTTTTGTGGCTGCAGCTTTAATGAAATGTCCTCCTGATTTTATTGCACAGAAATGCAGAATTTCTCAGACAGCGAAGTGATCCCACCCCAGGAGCTGGAGTGGCTGCTGCAGAACAGATGACCTGACTGAGGTGAGAAAGCCTCAGCTCAGCCCATTTCCAGCACTGGGAAGGTTTAGGCCAGCCAGTCCTCAGTAGAGTGTCCCCCCACCTTGTGAGAGGTCACCAGGGTGACTTCACGCCTGGTATTGGATTGCCCAAGAAGTGCCGGGAGGAGAGATGAAGGCCTGGGGACAATTTCCCTCTGCTGCACACAGTACTGCACCTTCCAGCCCATCGCCTGTGGTGCTGCTGTGACCATCACGGGTTTGCATTCCTCGTTATTTGGCTGACTATGCATGTTTCACTTAAGCTTTTGGTATTCATAGGGCAGGCTGAGTGGAAGCACTGTCACATTTTGCTTTTCCTTTTCTCTGTTCCTGAATAAATTCAGGTGATTTTCCCTCAAAAAAAAAAACAAACAAAAAAAAAACCCTCACTGAAATTTTTGACCAGTTGAGATTATAAACCTACCGTGTCATTTAGTTTATTACTTTTCCAGAGCAGCTGAGCTGCCTTTAAGGCAGTTCTTATAAAATCTCCTGCTAATCAGGAGTACTCAAATCTATGAAAAGTTTGTCACTTTTTTTGCAGTTAACAGTATTTCCTCTTAACCATTTTATTATATCTAAAAGCAGGATAGAAGCAGGAGAGTCCTTATAATGGTGATTATATGGTACAGGCACCATGTGATGGACCTTCTGCTAAGAGTAGCAGTTCCTGTTTCATCTTTCAGTGTAAACTAAGCAGCAAACTTAAATAATTTATACTATAAGCATAACTTGGGAGGAGGGAGAGGAGGGGGAACCCAGCATCTATAAACCCAAGTATTTTAATTTACACTTACTAGTGAATAAACTAAAATTATCATAACACAACTTCAATCACTGTAATACCATTCTTTTTATTGTAAGAGGCAAAGTAATTAATCTGTATATTTACAATCCTTGTCTATGATTAGTTTTCTGTCACTGGATGTGGTGAGTCCTCGCTGTTATGACTATATTTTATTTACTAATATTTTCCTACACAGCGCTGAACACTCCCTGCTGAAGAAGCTGAATGGACAAATCCATGAAGATATCTTTCATTTTCCCTGACAGTGAATGATGTTTCCATATATAAACATAATAATAGAGTCATTACATATGCACTCACATTATCATAGCCGCTGTGTGCTCGGTGTTATTCAAAACAAGGCAGGAAGCCAAATCTTCCTAGTTCCCATTTTGATTTAAATTGTATTTGTAATAAAGGGATTTTCATTCAACCTAAATGCAGTTTCATCCTGATCCAACAAACCTCCCCACTTCTTTTTTTTTATTATTATTATTATTTTTCCTTTATTCTAGGTCACTCAGTCCTGATATAAGTGAAATTCTCCTCTGGTGGTGATAACAGCAGTGCTACTCAATGAACTATAACAAGGGCTCTAAATGCATCTCCTGTAGCATACCACAGTGATTTGCAAAAGTGGGAATAAATCAAAGCAGTGAAGAGATGCCATGTTGAGCCAGAAGCTAAATGTTACATCTTGTTGCAGGAGGCTAGGGGGAGAACAGATCCTGTTTTTCTGGCAGCACAATATCTTTGTGCTTGTTACCTCCGATCCAACCCCATTAAAACAATCATTCAGAATCTGCAGGAAATTGTCACCTCTTTCTTTCATGCAATGGCAGCTGGTATTGGTGCCTACACACATTTCTCATTTCCTTCAAGATTTTCAACACACATTAAAAAAAAGAAGCTTAATTTATGTTAAAAAATGTGTCAGCTTACCCTGAGGCTCAGCACGGGCACCAGGGAAAAAAATAAAAGATAAATGCCTCTAGGTGAACTGGCAGAGGCTCTAATTCTCCACTCACTCTACTGCTACACAGTATGCACCGCATTAATCATTTCACATAGGCAGGCATTTAAAAAAACTTCAACAATTTTAAAACAAAGATGCATTGCCCTAAACTTAATAGTAATACAACTGTATCTTGTTGAACAGTCTCAGTTCACACATACTGTATCCCCTAATAGAAGAGGTATAAAATAATATTGGAGTCTTCTGTGGCATAATTTTTATTATTCACTTTCTTTTGTCTATACAGTTATGTCCCCTCTAGTGGGCATTTTTCTGTGTGTGTGTAAGTATACATATATAATGTTGTCATTTGTCTTATTTGAGTGCTGACATACACAGGGTGTTTTCTACCTCCCATGTTTATTGTGTGCTGGGTAAATGCCTCCTAGTGAGCTCTGTTACACTTCAGTCCAACTTGAATATAGCTTAACTTTCTGTGCTGGGAATAGGGAAATAGTTTTCTCACTTTTCAACTTTTCTAGCTTACGTGAATGTTACAATATTTGCGTATTTTTCATTTTATTTCTCCCTCACTCTGGATTTATCCTGTGCTCCATGTGCTTAGTAATGCTAATGTCACAAAGTACAAATAATACTAGAAGGTGGAAGACAATATCAGGTCTAGGGAGGTGGCAACGATATACTGAGATGACAAAGATGAGGAGTACAAGGCTGTGAGGGAAGGACTGCTTTAGGGGACAGGACCTATAGCCATGGCAGCTGGGGTGCCAGTGAGGGCTACGAGAAGATCAGTAAAGATTTGGGTTGCATGAAGGCCACTGTTTCGTTGCTTTGATATACAAGGTGCTGCAAGGCTGGCTGACTTATCCAGCTGGAGACAGTCCTCTTTTGGAGAAAGCACCAGTGGTTTTACAGATGGCATGCATAGCTTTACGTTAGTCCCAGCACGTTAGAAGATGTGGCTCCAGGGAACAGTCCATGGGCCCTGGATGAGTTGTTAGAAAGACTGTGGTCAAACAACAGCGTTTCCAGCAGCTCTGCAGGTGGCCTCAGTGGTATTTCAGGACTCCCAGCAGCTGCCTGAGAAGGTTTGCAGAGGTGAAAAGATGAGTTACTGGTTTGTACCTACGTCTCAGTGCTGCATGAGGGTAGCAGAGAACAGGTAACTAGTCCGAGTAAAATAGATATACAAGGGAAATGTTGGTCTGCTGCTGAATGGAGTGGGGGACCTGGTGCCTAAGGCCACACAGAAGATAGAGGTACTCAATGCCTTTTTCACCTCAGTCTTTACAGGTAAGAAATCCCAGGCTCCTGAGGCAAATGGGAAAATCTGAAGCAATGCAAACTTGTCCTCAGTGAAGGAGGATCAGGTTAGGGAGCTTTTGAACAAGTCCATGGGAACTGAAGGGATGCACCCACAAGTGCTGAGGGAGCTCGCCATTTGTCATTATTTTTGAATGGTCATGGTGATGGGAGGAGGTTCCTGACGACTGGAAGAATGCAAATGTCACTCCTGTCTTCACAGAATCAGCTCTGAGCAGGGGGTTTGGGGTAGGTGATCTCCAGGGGTGCCTTCCCACCTCAGTCACTCTGTCATGTATCTTTGATTTTGTATCTTTTAAAGCCTGTTCTTCAGTGCCCATGAAGTCGTGTGACATTTAAAGGACACCTGAAACTTTTTTCCAGTTTGGGTTTCCTGTCTCAGGAGATCCATTTGCTGAGTGCAAAGGTTTCTGGGGTCTCCTTAACATATTAATCCTCAGAACATATTATTTTAAGGCATGCACAGCCAGCATCACTACAGAAATGGCAGATTTAAATGGTGCATAGTTTGGTAGGATAAAAGGAATTTGTTGGACAGTGTGTATATAAATGGTATTGCTACGGCACAACCGGGGATGTAGAGGTGGATGTGTGTGCAGCGGGAAGCTATAAGAAGTGCAAAATCACAACACCAGGAAGGAAAATGCTTTGAATGTCTGGGCACGATTTAAACAGCAGGAATGTGAGTGTTGCCTATGGTGGTAGTTTGATCATACACAACAGTGAGGTACAGTTCTCAATGTCCGTGTTGCTCATGCCTTTTTCTTCAAAGGGTAGTGGTTTGTGCTTGTTTTCACACAGATGTAGGTGGATTCACAGCATCATTAAGTAAGCAATCAGCCTTTCAGTTCTTTGAAGGAAAGGCTAAGGGTGGTGTCCAAATCTTTAGTTGGCACAGAATGGCATTTTTCTATTGAAGTCAGTGGCCCTACTTCAATGAGTGCTGCAGAATGAGTAGAGGACAGGAGAAGGTGAGGAAAAACCACACAACTTGGTAATAGCAATTAAATAATTAAGAAGTACAGGCTAGAAACTTTCTTTGTTATAGTGAAACTGAACTCCTCTTGGATCAACTGATGAATATGAGTTGCATGTCCTTTGAAGGATCTTAGAGAGAGTCTTGGGTCCACAGAAGAATACTCCAATACTGTTGCTGTAATCACAATAACATCAAAAATAAGAGAGTAGCAGAGTAAATTAATGAACTGTAGCTTTTGGCTGCCTCCAGATTTGCATCTTTTGAAATGGCTTTTTGAGAAATGCATTTGAAAAAAAAAAAGTGCTATTGTCACACAATATTACAGTATAATTATTTTAATACTTTAGTGTTTATTATATCTTACAGTGTTTATTATGTCTTATTGCATTATTTATTTGGATTGCTATATCAGAGGTCACAAGCTGTTTTAAATGTAGTTCTTTGGGTTTGATCTTCATTGTTTATTTTAATCAGAGAAGTAAACACTCTGCTGGGACTGAAAGTTTGAAATTATTTTTCTCCAGATGAGTTAATTATTATTTTTTTTCTAAAACATACACAAATTTTTCAGTTACTTCTGAGTTTTCTTCTTCTTTTTTCTTTTTTTTCCCCTCATTTTAACACTTTTCTGCCTATGGACAATTTCCAAATGGCGGACTTAAGAAAATTTGTAAATAGGTAGTTCTTATAAAATAAGAACATGACCAATGTAACAAAGACTTGTGTTCATAGGTGCACAAGTCTGTTACAGGGAGCTAGAAACCTGGTTACTCGCTGCAAAGTGCCTTAAAAGGTTTACACCGCAGTACACAGCAAATATTGCTTTGAAACATCTATATGTACACGTCTATCTGTATGTAACACAAATGCTGTTTTACTGGGGAAAGCTTAATATACGTAACCACAGTGCAAATGACAAGTGACAGCGTGGGTTTCAAAGTTTGCTCCTGTAAAGGAGGGGATGTAGACATGTTTGGGTGCCCAAGCCATAGTCCCCAGAAGTAGTGTCCATATTGCCCTGGTGCTGGATCACACTACATTTAACCTGGAGTGGTATATTCCTGATAATCCGCAAAAAGACACTGTTGCAGCCAAGGGAAAGTCCATGGACCTAAGTGCAGGGACCCAAAATTTAGTCAGTTTGTAAAAGCTGATTGTTCCATCACGCAATAGAAACTCTTGAGCTTCTTTGCCTCTTGAGCCTTCTGTAACTCAGAGCTAGAAAAGGTAGAGCATTTTTTTCTCATAAGGAAAGCTTAGTTCATGCAAGGTTTTCTTTTAAAAGGTTCAACATTGACCATAAAGATGGGCATTGAGGTTCAGAAGCAAATACAGATTTTTCTGTCACTTTAGCACTGGCTTTCTAAGGAAATACCACAAGATCCATTATAGACAGTTAATGCCCATCTCCTTCCCTGAGCATCAGAAAAGCAGCTTTTCTCAGTTGTGCTTAACAAAAGTAACAAAAAATAACGTTCCAACTATAACTTTAAAAGCTCTGTTTATGCAGTAGAATCCCTATAGAAGGTATTTCAAAAATCATATGGGCATTGGGGTTCAGAAGCAAATACAGATTTTTCTGTCACTTTAGCACTGGCTTTCTAAGGAAATACCACAAGATCCATTATAGACAGTTAATGCCCATCTCCTTCCCTGAGCATCAGAAAAGCAGCTTTTCTCAGTTGTGCTTAACAAAAGTAACAAAAAATAACGTTCCAACTATAACTTTAAAAGCTCTGTTTATGCAGTAGAATCCCTATAGAAGGTATTTCAAAAATCATATTTTCTACTCTTGGCTTTTTCCTATTTTAATCTTTCATATTTCCTGATTGCATTTATTTTGACCTCCATCAAGTGGTTTCTCTATTACTGTTATTTTTGCAATTTTATGGTATTCTTGTAGCTTACTGTATTCTCTTTGATCTCCTCCCTTTCAGCTTTTTCTTGAGTCTTTTTCATCTTTAAAAAAAGTTTTCTGCTTTATTTTTTTGTCTTTCTGTCTCCCAAGTGCAAGCCTTATTTTGCATTCGCAGGTAAATTTTTGGAAATCATAAAGAGTCACATGCATTCTGGATTTTTCTACTGCTGAACACAAAATGTTTCAAATTCTTGCTTCAAAGGCTTTCAGGAACAAAGAGGCTTTTCTCAGACCACTAGCAAATCCACCAAGTTCAAATGAACTGTCTTTGCCAGCAGAGATGAACTAATAACAGAACAGCATAGTCTTGCAAGAGTAGCCAAATATGTTAGGGGAACAAACATATCCTTGACATCATAAGAAAAAAATCACAGTTTATCTCTTTAATAACCATCTTCAAGGGAAATTAATGCTACTTTGTCCTTTGTGCAGAACAGTAATTGGATTGTGTGTTTCAATTATATCTGGACAAAGGCCAGGATATTGAAATACTTCTAAATATTAGATTTTCTTGTCCAAAAATTAGATTTTATTGGCATTCTCTTTCCGAGATTTCTTCATTAAAAGCTTCATTAAGCATAAATCTTCTTTCCACACAGCAAAAAAACTAAATTATTTTAAAAGGGTCATTTAGAAAGGTTTGCCCTCCCCTTCTCCCACTGTTTATGCTGAGAGAAGAGTAACCTAACAAGGTTAGAAGCCAACCTGCCTTACCTAGGATGGTTTTCGGCTAGTTGCTTGAACTCATTGTCCCAGTTTGGCCTTCCATAGCAAGTCTTCTGTCTCAAACCGGTAATTACATCCATCTTGTCGTCATAATGTAGGGCTATGTGAGTAGCCTAAAGGCAAATTTACAAGATAATAATTTAAAAGTCAACAATGTATACTCCAAATAAGAGAAGAAAGCAATAATGCTGCTTCATGGTGAAAGACAGAGGTATTAATGAGGGAAACTCTGTAATTATCCTGTGGAAGGAGGAAGAAGGGGAGAGGAGAAGAGAGGAGAGGAATACTCAAGAGTTTACAAAATGACTAAGAAGTGTAAAAAGCGCTTCCAAAAGTACCAGAAACCTCAAAGGAGTTCAGCTTTTTGAGATGAAATGTTTGAAATTAGTTGGGATTAAATACCTGTCTTTACGGGCCTGGCCCTAAGTGCCTCAGTCACTTTTACAGGCAGGTCTTAGATTCCTAAACCTTTTCTTAGTCTTTGAATATCTCACCCTGCACTTTATTCATTGCAGATCCTGAAGTAACAGTCACCATTTTAAAGGTGGAGTTGGAGTTTGGGAAAGGGAACTAGACAGATCTTCTTTCAACATAGACCACAGGAAAAAAGCAGAGCAAATAAGAGCAAAGACTTTCCTGTGAGAGTTTTTCTGGCAGGTGCCTAACTGATCACAGTGTGATCTGAGTGATCCTTTAAGAAAAAAGGGGGAGAGAAAATCAACTTATCTGGGTCTAAGTAAGACTAAAGAAGTTGAATGATATTGACCCAGTCTAAGGATTAAGTGCCTTGAGTTGGGATGGTCCAATGAAATTGTAAGATGGCAAATTTGAAGTCAACCAGAGAAAATATATTTTCAAACAACATGAATTAGTCCATAGAGTTTGTTGCCAAGATGTTCTAAACATAGCAGGGTTCAAGAGTGTACTGGAAATGTACGTGAACAACAAAAATTATACTAAATAATATAAGTAAACAAACCCTAAACTTTTTATACAACCCTGCTTTTTGAAGACATGGACAAATGTCCATTCACAAGCTCCTGAAAGGTTCTCTGCACTTTTCTGCAAAACACCTGGTAACCAGTGCTGCCCAAGCCAAGATATAGGACTGGCATGATTTCTTCATTTCTATTTTCCTAAATGTGAGATGGAAACAGACGGCTTGGTGTCTTTATATTTACAGTTCTTTGTCTCTCTGCTTCATCCATCATTTATTCAGCTGTTCCTGTTCCATATGTTCCCATACTGGAAAAGCAAGGTACATTAACTCAGACTCGTAAGAGTTTCATTATTACCTGACTTTCATCCCAGCCGGTAAGAAATATACGATAACTTAGAAAATCATTTTTTCCTTTTTCAGCCATTTTTGTTTCCAAGTGGAACAGAAGATCAGCAAACCACTCAAATGCTGATGGGTCTCGACAAATCCAGTAAAAATAAACCTGTCAGATAAAAGTAAAGAGATTTAACAAGAAGCAAACTGTCAATAAAACTTCTTAATGATTGGCTCAACTTGTTAACCGCATAGCATGTCTCTTCTCCACTGTAAATTTAAACATAATTACATGTAATTTTGATGATATAGTTTCTATATTTTAAAAATGTCATTCTCTTCTTAAACATTGAGTGAATATATTAATGTGCTACTGAAGATGTACATGAGGCAATGTACAACTTTCCCATCTCTCCCTGCCAGCACACTTCAGCTTTGACTTATAATACCTAACCCTGCATTTCTTGCAAACTATTTGATCATTTATTGAAATTTTGGATTTATTTTCAGTTATGTTTAAAATGGAATTTCACTTTCATTCAGCACTGAAGCAAGGAATTCCTGTTTCTCAAGACCTTATGCCATAGGTTAACAGTTGATGTAGTCAAAAGATAGTTATGCTTTTCAAGTTGGATACCCTGCATAAAACAGGCTACAGAATGCCCTACTCATTTTTAAATTTATTTCTTGTTTAACTTGGAGCATATAATTTCTAGAGAAACATGAAACTGTAATTTTAAAGTTGCCAAAAGAAGTAAAATGAACCGCTACCTCATAATTGGCTTTCTATTGGTTGAAAACCTCTTGTTTATGAAAAATTTACACAGTTTTTCTCATCCACATTTCTCTAGCTTCATCTTCCGTATACTGGATCTTGTTTTAGTTGTCTGCTGAATTAGAGAGCCTGTTCTTAAGGTTTTATTCCCCAGGTAGAAATTAGAAGCTGGGATCAAGTCATCCTATAATTCTCTCTATGGTAAACCAAACGTTCCTGGGATCTGTCACTGACAGACTAATTTTCCAGACTTTAATCATTCCTATTGCTTATTTCTGTCTATTCCTCCTCTACTCAGTCAGCCACAAACAGAACTGAGAGTTTGTTTAAATAAAAAAAAAATTAAAAAGTCCCAATTTATTAGGATCTTGGCATAGGGAATAAAATCTTTTAAACAAGATGGTTAGTCACTGTCCGTATGATCATGAGAGTTTCTATTTCAAGAGTCCTTGCTGTGGCATCTTCAGCTGGGTCAGGTGAGACTCCTCAAGCCCCTTTCTCTGTTCAGTTCATTATCGCCAGCTGGCCCAGGGACCATTGTGGCCACTTCAGCATGTGCATGATCTATTGTGATCATCTATTGTGATTTATTGTCTTAACTATATACAAAGCATCTTCTAACTAATTAACTATGTATAAAAGACTCTCCTGTGTGACCACTTCTGTTTCTGCTGACCATTGGCAAATGTCTTACCTGAGTACAAGTTAATCGGTTTTGCAGCAGGAACTGCCTGCAGAGTCTCAGGACTGGTGAGATTCCCCTCCCAGGATCTTAATCAACACACAGAGCAGGAGCTGCCTTAGGGAGTCTTCAGAACAGCTGGAAATTCCCACCTGGAAACCTCCCCCACTAGTGAGTCAAATTCTGGGCTGGGAGCACAGCCCATCCCCTGGTTTCAGCTCAGTCCCTTGTCTCGAGCTGGTCCAGCTGTGTAGATGGCTAATTTGGGAGTTCCTGCACCACCCAGGGGCTGAATGCCCAAAGCTCTCTGGATGTGTGCCCAGGTGCTACCCTGATACCTGGCTGAACCACAATTATAAGAAGAATCTGATTGCAATTCTTATAACTTGAGTTCTGTAGCTCTGGACACACAATCCATGATTACTTTTGAACAGAGAGCACCGGACCTCCAGTAGCCCTCTGTGGGCAATGTAATTTTGAGTGTAATTATTTTTATAGTGCCTCCAAAGAAATAATTCACAAACATGGAGGAAGCCTAGAAGCCCCACAATTTTGGATGAAAAGGAATGGTGTAGAGGACAATGTATAAGCTTATAACAAAGGGATGGTGGGAACTTGTTTTTTATTTTGTTGCCAAATTCATTTATTTCCTCCAACCCATCTCTCTGTGCTCACCAGCCTCTCTGTCTTTTATTATACCTCAATATCAAAGGTAATCTGGAAGGTGTGTCCCCAAGGCAATCATTGTGGGAGCTCTGATGATTTGGAAATTGTAGCCCTTTGCCATAGGATCAATGAGATAAAGATGCATATTAGACATTTCTGAAGTGAAAAATCGGAGGAGAAATCAGAAAGCAATAAAGAGATTTCCCGAAGATTTAATATACTAGGTTGTCAGACTTCTGGTAAGGTGGTGGGAGAAAAATGTGCTAACATCATGCTTCACTGGAGATTTGGTGAAGGAGACTAACAGTAATTTGAGATGTTTCCTAGCTCTGAGTGTACTGTAAGGGACCATCTGTGGTTTTTGTAAGAAATATAAATGAAGTATGATCCCAGGAAACAGAGATAAAGCATTCAGGGTTAAATAGGGTATTTTTACAGCCCAGCGCTAGGACTGTCTGCAGAACTTTAGTACCAACCATCTCGGCTGCTTGCTTTTTCCCCTTCTGTTTCAATGTTTTGCCTTAAATATAACCTTATTGCTTTACGGGGTGTTGCTGCTGATTTACAATGGCATAGCTTATGAGGAAAAAAGCAAGCCCACTGACTTTAGAGCATTTCATTTTTGTGACCAACAACAGCATTATTTTAAATTACCGAAACTAGATAAGATTTAAAGCTTTAACCTTTATGTAATTTTTTTTGTGTTTGAATCCTGAAGTCCCTGCTTGTTCCACATCCTCAGCACCTCGAAAATCAGGCCACTGAGTGCTGTCAGTCTGTATCACGCCGTGGCTGTTGATTTGTAGTGAGAAATTTCTTCCCCCAGCCTCTACTTGATCATCTTACTTCTCAAGTCTTTTCAGCAGTGCATTTTATGGAAATGTATATTTAGTACACGTGTGTGGAGAGGAGGCATGTGCTTCTAAATGAATAATGAATTGTGCTCAGGGTAGCAACTGGGAGGATGTGGGAAGGACTGGGAGCCAAGCATGTTCAGGGAAGGAGGAGGAAAAGCCAGCTGATGAGCTGAGACAATGTGGTCTTGGAAATGGGGGACTATTTTCCACAATATCATGCTATGGAGCTTGAAAGAGTGCTTTTAGCTGGTTGCAGACCCAGCTGTCACAGTGACAGCCAGTCCAACCAAATTGTGTAAAGCCACCTTTGGTGCAGTCCTCTTGAGAAAGGGTGTAGCTTTCTGAAACCACAGAAATTCCTTAAACTCATCCTCAGTGCTGTTCCACTGAAGCAGTATCCATAGCACTGCGTCTAATGTTCACATTAGAGGTGGAGAGCACTTGGTAATGAAGAAAGACTGTCATTATAAAAAGGTTTTTTTTGGCCATGATTATAATCTTAGAAAGAAAGGAGGTAGTGAAGAAGGATGGTAAAAAGTCTCCCTTTCCTTTAGATCAAAGAGGACTTCTAGTGTAATATGTTAAAATAAATGCTGTTTACAAAGGAGTTTTCCTTTCATTACTCTGACTGCCCATAGCATAGCACCACATATTACATGTATAATTAAAATATAATAAATGCACAATAAAATTGATCACTCCCTGCAAAACCCGAGTCCTTCCTGCTCCTGAGTGTACCACACCACCCGTGTGCTGTAGCGTACCAAAAAAAGATCAGAGAACTTCTCCAGCCAAATTAGTTGATCCTGTGGGCCACTACAGATAAGATGCAGCACTGCCTGTTGGTGGGGGCATGCAGGGGACTCAGACCTAGGCAGACTTTTGTATAAATGCAGGACAAGGCTCGAATTCATCCCCCTGAATTTGAAGCAAAAGGCCTAAACTGTTCTCAAACACAGCTCAGAAAGGCGGTTATGTTTGACAGCAAAAAGAAACCAGATTTTTAAGTCTTCAGGAGAAGATGTTTTGCAGAGAAGGCTGTGAGCTACAGTAGAGCTCAAAGCAGGTTACCTCAGGCAATGACGGTTGGTCTCAAAGCAAATGGAAGAGGGTGTTTTTGTTTTCCTCACTGTATATATCTGAACTTATTGCCAGAACTTTCTGTGGCCATCAAAGGTCTACATGGGTTCAAAAATCAATTAGACAGATTCATGAATTCATGGAAGAAAAGTCTACTAAGGGATATCAAACACAAGAGATGCAGCTCTTGTATCGAGATGTTACTGAACTGCAAGTTGCTCAAGGATGAGAACATGTCCACTAAGGACATATCACTGCATGATTTTCTAGTCTGTGCACTTTTCCCTAGACGTTCATGAAGAGCCACCATTGGAGACAGAATATTGGGTTAGATGGACCTTTGGTGAGACCCAGTAGGATCTTTCCTACTGTCTTTATGTAGGGTAAAAGAGAAAGTGAGTGTTTGCTGATATTAGTAACTCATGGATCAGTACAATTTTATCAATTTCAGCAGCAATTGATCTGAAAAATGAGACCATTAATGTGAAAAAAAGATCATTTTATGCATAACTAAAGCCAGTAGAAACTTTCCAGCTATGAGTAGTAGTAGCACCCTTCCTCATTGCAATAAATGATAGGGAAATGAAGGCTCTAAGGCTATTTAATTGTGAAGAATCAATTAGATAAATGTGTACTCCTTTTGATTTGCTGGGTTTTTTAAATTATACAGCTGCAGACATTATGGAAGCTATGAGTATTTATATCTCAACCGTATGTGGGCAACACTAAGAAATATTAGTTCAATAAGCGTAATGATAGCTGTACTCAAATCAAAACGAAGTTGTTAAAAAAAGAAAAACCTCTTATTTATTTCCTTAATAGACATTTCTATGGTACTCATCATGGCAGAAAGAGAGTGCTGAATACTTTGAGGAAGATTAAATTATTTGTAATTATACTGTAAGTGGAAGCTTTTAACCAATGGGAAAAAAATTGTGGAGCTACCCTGAGATTAATCGTTTTCACTAAGATGAGTGCTAAATTTTTTAAGTAATGCTGTGAACTTCCCCAGCACCTTTCACCCAGGCTTTCAAAATATTTTACAAACACCGATGAAGTTTAGCCTCATAACACCTGTGAAAAATAAGCATCACTATTCCCACTGCACCAATAAGGAAGCCAGGACATATACAATTTTTTTTAGAAATTATACTGCACCAATTAGGAAGCCAGGACATATAGGAACCTTATACTTTTGTATTTCATGGGAATTCAGGAAAACTGAACTCTGTAGTAGAAAACGGTGGCAGAAGGCACCATGTGTTTATCTTTGTCAGCGCACTAACACAGGATTCTCCCTAAGCTATGGATGAACAGCCTGAAGTATACTATACTCCCAATGCATGGTTATATTCTGTTCTTTCCCCCTTAAGATAACAACAATGACAATAGTAACAAATTAACATGTACACATACATAATAATATACATAATTACTTATAGAACATGTATATACATATATGTAGCTCTCCTTCCAGTGGAAAAAATCATTCTGGTACAGTGATAGCATTTGTAAATACACTTATTTTCACAACTCACACATATTTTCATTTTTATTTCCCTCTCTTCTCAGTGCTTTCTCTGCCTCAAAGATCCCCCCTGGCAATTTGAACCTGTCCTCAACTCCTCAGTTGCAAAAATCCCAGATGCTTTTTCAGTGGCAGCTTGTCATTAAGATGCCAGTTTTAACACTCTTTCATTTAAAAAGATCAGCCCCTTAGTCCTGCAATCAGCTCCATATGTACTGACCCTCTCAGAGATCTGTCCACTCCAATGCAATTTCAAGATCTGTCCTTAAATGTGAAATGTTGAACAGTTCCCGATTCAGCTTTTACATTGGAAAATGAGCTAAAAGAAGCTATAAGGTCCACAAGCTACCACTTGCCATGATGGATAGGGAAGAGAATGTTTAACTCTGATTTTTCTTCTCTGAACCTTCTTGTCCCTCATCGTACATCACCCATCATCTCTTCTTCACCTATCCTCCCCCAGTGCTGCCTCACGTATCCTTAGCAGAAGATGTATAACAGGTCAGCAGATCAAGAGGATGTTAACTTAATTGGTGCCATCCATGCCTTACAGACCCCAATATATTTTTTTCAACAAAATAATTAAAGTGGGTTGAGGCGGTAATAGGCATCTTGATATATGCATCTCATCCAGAGCTTAAATACCTTTTTTTATTCCTTCTATGCTGGCTAATATCCTGACTTTGCAAGGTGAGAAAAGCAGCTAATGGTCTCTGGATGCAGCATTCTGGAACAGGACATGCAGCTAAAGGACCTTCACAAAACCTGCAGCTGGACGAGGAGCAAGTGCTGCCCCTCGCTTCTGTCAGAGATGACCTTGCAGGATTTGTTTTTGGTAGGAAAGAGGCCAGATTTATCTTCTAGCTCTCTAACTATCTGTCTAGCTATGAAAGACATACCACGTTTATCTCCAGCTGCTGTTGAAAATCTGATTCTTCAGTTTTTACTAAAAACACTGCACCTAGGGCTACCTTCTTCCTCAGGCAACGACAGTGAATTTGGGAGACCCCACAACAGCTCCTGAGGCAGCTGGAAAGCGACCGACTGTGTCTGAGAGGGGGTTAAAGCGCTCAAGTGTGTCTCTGGCTCTGAGTTGCCTCTCCCACCTGGTGGAACAGGCTCATTTGTGGAACTTTTGGATGGAGCCATAAGCTTTCCCACCTACCTTCTGCAGCGCCAGCCCTGTGTTGGGGTTGCAGCATTTGTACCAAATGGATTTCAAAACAGAGGCGAACGGCGTGACTCCGATCCCTGCTGCAATGCACACGCTCACTGGGTAGTGGAAGACATCTGTGGCTGCAGATCCGTACGGTCCATCCACAGCCACCCTACGGCAACAGGACATTTATTTAGTCAAGGGTCAGCAACATGTAAAGTGAGAGAAAGGTTAAAATCTGCTGGGCTCCGTCTTTTCGAAGCGGGACTTCTGTTAAAATAAAAAAGAATTCTCTAAACTGACACACAAATTACCCTTGCAAACACATGTAATTTTCAGTGGGTGCCATTTAATAGCAAAGCAACTGCTATTTCTGAAATGAGAGAACAAGAGCACCCATGTGGGTTTGGGGCCTGGCCATCTATTTAAGTATGCAATTGCAATTTTCTGGCTTTCTGAAATGTGATTAGTCATATAATTGCATGTCCAAATTTAGCTGTGGAATTTACATATTTAATTATGAATTACTGAAAAGCATCCTGTTTTGGAGCTTTATTTTCTATATTGTATATATCAAAGTAAAGAGGAAAAGATTATATTAATCATTTTGAAAAGTTCTTCATATGTGTTCAAGGAATAAAAGAGAAAGCAAGAAAGAGGACATCATATGCAAGGAAACCACTATTTTCTCAGCTCCTTTTGAAAAAAACAGTATTTCAGAGATACATTTTTGGCAATAATACTGTACTTAGGATCTGACATAAAGGCAAATTTTGTAAGGAGAAACGCTTGTTTATGTTACTACCTCCTATAATCAACATTGCTGATGCTGAGGCATTCATTTTGGTCAAAATTAGAGATGAAAAAGATTATTAAATAATCAGATTCATTCCTCTAACAACATGGAATGTAAATATACACAGTAGTTTGGAGTGCTCTGTCCAGTCTGTCTTTAAATAACCTAAGTGCTCTGGAAGAGAGTTTCACTAACACCCAGTCCTTAGGAAAAATTGTTTTTTACCCTGTTTCAGATTTTCTATTTTTTTGTGCTCTTTATTGCATGAATGATCTTTATTTTACCCTGTTTCACATTTTCTGTTTCTTTGTGCTCTTTATTGCATGAATGATCTTTAATATTCAGCTTAAGTAATGCAAACAAATATGTGGACGTAAGAATAATGAAATGTTTTACTGGGAAAAGAAAGGGGGACCGCCAAGAAATGGTACATGCAAATACAGGGACACAGTGTATCTTAAACCCTATGTTGCTTTCTTAGAGTGTACCTGAATTCCTAGCAAACATCTGCCCTTTCAGCTGCACTTGTCACAGGGTTCGTTTTTATTTCAGTATTCCAAATGCTCTGCAAGTGGGGTACAAAATGAAACAGCTACTCAGGGATAATTTCTGAAAATCTGGCCTCGTGTAAACAAAATAAGTTTTTTAAAAAAATATGCATTGCTATTCAGATTATTGCCCAGCCTTGTACCTTTTGAGCACTCAAAACTTCCTGTAGAATATGGCTAGAGAATATATGTAGAGCGTCTAAGAACTGCTTTCAGGTAAGCTTTCTATGTAGTTCAATGGGGGCTTGGGAGCAATTCTCATTATTGTTAGTAGATTGAGAAAAAGCTAGTCTGGAGGGAATTTCAAGAGATTCTTTAATCTTTCTCTGTGCTACAAGACAGGATCAATTATTTCTGAATCATTCCTTACAGAGATTTGTCTTGTCAGTCTGCTCCTAAATCCTCAGGTGACAGAGATCCCATCATTGGTTTGAAGGCCTTGCTCAGAGGTAGCAAGAGAGCTTAGCTGAGTACAAAGACTTAGAGAATTCAGGAGGAGAAAGTGGAGAAAGAGAAACTGAGCTGTACAACCCATTCATTTGATCTAGAGAGGGTGGAGGAAGGTAGGAAGATGGTAAACAAAGTGAAAAAAAATATTACATTTGGATTTGCCAAGGGAGAAATAGAAAAAAGGGCTATAGACTGTTTCTAGCTGTGGCTTGGATTGTTGGCATTTTTTGCATCCATCTACACAATTTCATTAGAAAGAAGCATTATACTTTGGGGAAAGGCAGGGAAAGTATTTAGTTTTAGAAAAGTAACATTACTGGATTTTTGTATTATTTCTAGAATTTAAACATTTGCTGATCAGCACGATTAGGTAGTACTCCTGACTGTGAGAGAGGTTAGATTTCGGGACGGTGTACTAAAACAGCAATTAAGTGAGCCAAAATCCTGAAGAGGCTCAATATGGAACTTGACTATTTTCACAGGAATAGTCTTTTCTGTGGTATTATCTCTCAAATTGACCAGCAATCACAACTGTTTTTTCTACCTGTATAAACGTACCTATACTTTATTTTTTATCTTCTTTTATTCATTACAATATACATATTTTATTTTTAGAACCTTACCTTATCATTCAGTTGCTACATAGCTTCTGTCTTCTGCTTAGTTTCTGCTATATGTTATTTTTTAATATAGTCACCAGTTCAGTGTTTATCCTTAGATATTGAAACCTTTGAAAAAGGCCTGTTATTTGCTTTATTGCTAGCTTAACTAAATTCTTTTTAATATATTGCAAGAAAGCAACTGAATGATGGCATTAGGCACCCTAACAAGATTAAAAAGAAGAGCCTTTATATGACAGCACTGCTAATTTCAGCCCTGCATTGTGGCCAGCAATGTTTGATAATATTTTTCTCTTTCTCATTCTTTACACTGGCTGTCAATCACTTTGGACCATTTTTGCTCCAGTTCTGCTGAAACGGCATACTTCTCATTCCAGTTGCCTTTAACAAAGGCACGGCTTTCATTTCTAATTCTTATTAACTGATACAATGCAAAGACTGGACCAGACTTTCTTCTCTGCCCCCACCTTCCAGTGTGCCTCTGTAGCTCAGTGGTGTCTATAAGCTTTTTCGGGGAATACTCTTATATTCCAAGTCCCATTCCACTATATAAATGTAGTTAAACAAGTGCCTTTTGCAGTTCAATTTTACTAGAACTCCCTCATCAAAAGCAATTTTCCAGGGGGAAAATAGTCCCTTCAGTCCCAGGCTCTACACACTCCACCAGAATTGAAATGATCCCAGGATGGGCTCTTTGCTGAAAATCTCTACTACGCCTGCAAGGAGCGAAGTGGTTCGAATCCATGATGTGTAGAGCCAGATGCTTAGCTGCTGTAAGGCAGGATGGCTCCATGAACTCCAGGTGAGCCCTGCTGACTGGCAACAACAAAGCATCAACCTTTTTGCTTGGATTAAGATGCCACAGTTACAGAATTTGAAAAGCGATAACCTTTATAAAGTGGAGAAGTGATTGGACGCCAGAGAGAGAGCTGAGGGAGACAACTGGAAAGAAGTAAGGTTCAGATAGAAATTTCTGGGGCCACAAAACATCTAAGTAACATCTAAGAAAGGGAAAAGCTGAAAGTTTGGATGGCAGCTGATGGGAGTCATCAGAGCACAAGCATATGGACACAAAGCATCTAGCATCATTTCCATTCAGTTCAAAAGCCCTTATCTGTTGAAATGGATATCTTCAGGTGTAGATGTAGATATTATAGATTTAGATGATAATGACAGAGGTTTAGATATTGATATGAACTTTAAATCTTGTATTAGCCTACAGGTGTTCTTGATAGCCGTTGGCCTAGGTTCATGGCTGTGTTTGTGGTTTTTTAGCACAATGGCATATTTAGAGATCCAGAACTACGATCTAATACTGTGCCATAAAGAATACACACAAAATGAATTAAAGGCAAAACATTAACATTTATTTTAAAATGTAGAATTAACATTTTAAAATGTATTGTTTGCAATTCAAACCTTGGTAACATCCACAATTCCTTGAAAGCTTTTTCCTCAGCTCCGAAGGCCTTGAAGAGGGCCCCAGTCCAGTCCCCGACGACCCGAATGTGAACGCTGAAGAAGTCCTCCTCAGGAGCTGAGGTGAGAGTGAAAGGGTGCCACTCCAACTGTGAGACTGATGGGCACTGTAGAAAGATATATTGACCAGGTCCCATTTTAAAGCCACGTTTCTTCATGTGAAGCTCAAGGACTCCAGAGGAATGTGTCACCACCTAAACAGCAATAGAAAGATCTGCTTCATTATCCTTCAGAAGAGTAACTGTTTGTTTCCAATAGGTTACAGGTGACTTTGCAACCATTGCTATTTGAGTTCAAGCACAAGTTAATGTGAATTGGGATGCATGATAATGTTTAAATGTCTTGTAAATTGTGACCTAAACTGCATGTTGCAGTGCTGTTGCTGCCCAATAGCTTGAGAGCATGTAGTGTCTATCATGGGGCAGCTTGCTTTGTGAGCGTGAGAGGCAGAGGAAAGGCTGCAACAATTGAAAAATCTGTCAACTTTCCATCTTAGTAGAGCCTATGCAAAAGTATTCCTTGACAGACTGGAATAATTGCCCAGTTTTGCTCACAATTAACATGTACGGGGTTGTTGGTTTGGCAAGAAGAAAATAGCCCTGCGAGCTCAATCCTAATACACATTTATTTAGAGGTAATCTCAGTTAAGCAGCCAGTTTTATATGTCCCACATAGTAAACGGAGATTCTCAGATCACAGCCACTCTATGAAATCAGCAGCAAGACTCATCCGACATGCTTTTCCCCCTCACACAAGATAAGCCTGTTTCTGATCTCCAGCTTGATACGTGCGGGCTCAGCTACTTCAGCCATGGCATTCCTCATCCATTCAGCTGTGATTCAAACAGGCCCTTAACACACAGAGATGTTTACAGCTGGGATAAATTGTTACAGTGGTATTAATGAAGCTTCGGCTATTTATGCTGTATGGTAGTATAGCCCTATAGGGAAGGTATAATCCTTGGAAGGCTCCAGGTTTGAAAGTAAAAGCCGCGTCCTACTGAAGTCAAAGTCCTGCAAAGACACGTCTCCACCATTTACTGCAGCGGAACGTGGTTTTCAGTTCAGCACAAAAAGAGACCCTCTGCACAGAGGATTGTGTTATGGTGGTGTAGCTGACTTGTAAGTCTGGTACTACATTAATCAAATTGGGTCCCGTATGGAATATTCGCATGGACTTGCTATTGGAATAAATGCAAACCCTAAAATCAATACTTGGCTGAAACCATGGTAATGGTATAAAAGCTGCTGAAGCTAGGAGTGAAAAATGAGGTCATAATATAAAGGAGTTATCTATAAGAGATAAAAAAGTCATTGACATAATGGTTTTTTTACGCAGACATGCAAGTTCTGTTACATACCTTAGTAATGACCACCTCCTGTTGAAATCTCCAAAACCTAACAATTCTTTCACATATATACAGCACCATAGGACTTAAAACCCACTTCCAAGCCTGTAGAAAGTTGCATATTAAAAAAACAACATTTATTTAATTTCTAGAAAAATATTTTGCATTTCTGGTTTAAATCAGCAGGTTGCCTAAAATGAAATTATTTGATTTCTCTCCTGTGATTTTTGGTTCGCCTTTCTCAGGAGAGTATTTCTGTTGCTACTGTAGCAGTTCTGGCTTTCTTGTGGAACAGACATATGGGACTCCTTCACAGATGCACTCCAAAAGCAGTGCTAATATCTATCTGTATCCTGGCCAAGAAGAGTCCTTTAAAATCTTTTCCTACTAAAAGGCAAAAGGATTAATCTATTTAGGTGTTACATATGGACGTCATTGGACCTGAAAACGTATAGATGCATACATTTATACAATATTACCCATAGACTTACTATTTTTTTGCTCTTCAAAGTCTGAAATTTTTCAGAAGGGTCAGATAGAAGTAGCTTTTATTGTCAGCTGTGATTTTTCTGATGCTGCATGAGAAAACATTAAGTCCCATATATTCAATTAGAGGAATGGGTTATATTTCCATTTAATCCATTAGTTGGCTCCGTATCAATAAATGTGTTTTTTTGATCTAGGATACTAAGCTGGCCATACTTTAAGTATTGAAGATGATTGCTGTGCTTGTACTTGCTAATCGTATCTACTGATCACTATAACAATCAAAGATACTTGGCTATTCAAGTATACTAGCTGATGATTTCACCAAGTTGCACTGATAGCTGAGATAATTAGATGTAATTGAATCTTCATGATTTAAAAAAAAATAATTTTTTTTTCCTAGAAGAAATACTGGTTTATTTCCAGTTTTGTTAATTACACAGCTCACTGTAGGCAACTGAAGACTCCACAATCATCTGGCTTTTAAAATCTCAGAAGAGTAACTTTACTTGCTGAAACATTGACTTTGCTCCACAAGCTGGGTAACAGGGGTTATAAAGTATCTTTTATGAGAAGCAAGCTATAAAATTATGTGGCTTCCTTAGAAAGTGCTAAGAGGATGGAGTGGCAATTTCCCAAGGTTAAGTCTTGAAAATTAAATTAAAAGAATGCATGATTTAATAATGGGAATAAACCAGCATAAGACAGAAGATTCTCAGTTAAAGCAGAAACTCAACACATCCGTTGTCCCTAAATACTACAGGTGTCTCTGCACAGTGGGTAATCTCACATGTCTTGAATATATTTGCATATATCAAGCCACAATAATGATGAGGCTTGTTTTTCCTCCCTTCCATTTGTGCTACCTGTAAATAAAAGCACATGACAGGAATGTTAAGGCTGAAGGCTACCCTGTGGGAGAGCTCGGCTGAGATTTCAAACGTGCCATCGCTCCAGCGCAACGGAGCATTCAATCCAAAATATCTTCTGGCTGGGTTGGGACAACAGGGCATCCACCAGGAGGGATTTGCTGCCAGGCAACACGGCTCCTGGCCGACTAATCAGGGCAGCGGTGTTCTTGCCCAAGTGGTGTTTCTCCTCAGGGGGAGCGAGATCAAGCTCCTATCTGCTGAAATATGGAGCAGGGGAGCACGTGACAGAGACAGGGGCTCTGCTGTGGTAGCCTCCCCCAGGAGCAGCAATCCCAGCAGGGCACAAGGATGTCCCTTCCCTGCTCAGTCCCATCCATACTGGCCTCTGCCAGCGCTGTGGAGGTCTCGCCATGGCTTTTTAGCCTCTGAATGAATTTAGAATCATAGAATCATAGAATCGTCTAGGTTGGAAGAGACCCTTGGGATCATCGAGTCCAACCATCTACCCTACTCTACAAAGTCCTCCCCTACACCATGTCCCTTAGCACTGCATCTAAACGGCCCTTAAACACAGCCAGGGATGGTGACTCCACCACCTCCCTGGGCAGCCTGTTCCAATGCCCTATCACTCTTTTGGTGAAAAATTCTTTCCTAATGTTCAATCTAAACCTACCCTGTTGGAGCTTGAAGCCATTTGTGCTGAGGTGTCTAGCAGGTATCACACCATAGCACATTACCCATCCGGCAAAGCACTGTTCTTACAGATGATCTATATGCCATATGGTATTATCACAATTCATTTAAAGTAATGTGACTTTGCAAGTACGGCCTTGGGTATGCAGGAAAGTGTGGCAAAATAGGTTTAACACGGAGAAGTGGAAGTTCTCTCCAGTTAGCTTTACGATAATGAATGTCAAGCCATGCTGTTGGAAGCAAGCTTGTGTCTGTATTCATGGTGCGTAGCCATGTATTGATTTTTATGGCGATATTGTAGCTGAAATTTTTAGAGAGGCATTCATTTTCTCATTAATATGCAGGTTGGATAGTGGCTAACAATAGTTTAGTTTAAGAAAAATCTATGTCAGCCATTAAAAGAGCTACAAGGCACTGAATGCTAATTTTTCTCCTTTACTATATGATTTCCTTTGGTATGTTTTCTCTTTTTGGAAGAAATAACAAAAACTTGCATATGAGCAAGCTAAATCTTGAGCTGTAAATGTTAAATGATTTTGTTTGGATGCTAGACATCTGACATACTGTACAAGTCTGCTACTTAATTACCCCCTGTGGATTTGCAATCTTGTTGCAGCAAAACCACCCTTCCGTGGGATATTTTTCCTGCCTTTCGCCTTTCCCTTTCATAATTCATGTTTAAAATTCTCTCCTTTTTACCTAACTTAAGACATCAAGGCTGGACGATATGAAGCATGTGACCCAAAGCAAGGACATAATTTAATCTCCAGCTTATTCTCCCTTGGTATTTAAACTATCCATATTAAAGTACTATTAGTTAAAATAATAATATTAATTTGCATCCCTAGCTTTACTGTTCCATTGTGTTTTCTGTATCTCTACCTCATAAGGTTTTTGCTTGGAGGCTATCACAGAATCACAGAATCACAGAATTGTAGTGGTTGGAAGGGACCTCAGAGATCATCGAGTCCAACCACAAAAAAAAAAAAAACCAAAAAAACCCAAACCCCAAAAAACCCCCACAAAAGCACCACACCCACCATCCTGTCATGTAATTTCTGTTTACACCACTTACTTGCTGCTACCTCCTATGGCACGATCTAACTTTAAGTACCCTAAGTCATGCTAAATACATGAATTTGTACATCATTAATCACAGAACACTTTTTATGTTTGCAGAAATCACCTTGCCGTTCAGAAAGCATTATTCCAGAAATGACCACATGGTACAACTAACCTGATTTTCCAGCTCTCTTTGTCAAACTAGGAAAGGCTACCTATTGCATAAAACTATATGTCAGAGCTTAGCAAAGTAATGAACATGTTTCAAGGTATTTTGGGGAAATATTTCTCTTGAGTATATCTGGGTTTCGTTCCCCCCTCACTTCCCATAAAACAGGAATAACAGAACAATAATTAACCAAAAATATCAGCTGTACTTGTGAGAAGATGTTAAACTCCGCATATGCCTACTGTATTAAAAATACAGTTTTATACACATTGGCATAAGTAATTCTACTCGAGAGATTAAACTCTTCTAGAATAATGTCGACTTTGTTTGGTGGTAGAAATATAGCTATTGTTGTTTTCAAAACTCACGTAGGCAAATCACACGAAGCCAGTTTGAGAGAGTTGATAGAGGTCATTAGCACTTTGTATTGCCTCTACTGCTTCTGTGTATTGTAGCCACACATTTTTAAGCACAAATAATCCTAAAAACACTGGCTAACTGAAATGACCTGAATAATGGCAGAGTCAATAGTGTAAGTGCAATAATTGCTCAATTTAGCATGTATTTCTACCTAGGTTCCTCAATCAATAAGATATCTGTGATTAAGAAAAAAAAAGATAAAGATGTTAAAGAGAAGTGGCCCCAGTACTGAGCCCTGTGGGACACCACTCGTGACTGGACGCCAGCTGGATTTAGCTCCATTCACCACCTATGTTTGTGCAATGAACACATCAAGGTTATCGGTTATATTAAATAATCAAAAATAAATGTACATACACAATAGGTTTAGATAGAGTAAAATTCTGAAATCCATACGTTTTCTGTATCTCTACCTCATAAGGTTTTTGCTTGGAGGCTATCACAGAATCACAGAATCACAGAATTGTATTTTCTGTATCTCTACCTCATGAGGTTTTTGCTTAGAGGCTATGTTTGTGCAATGAACACATCAAGGATATCGGTTATATTAAATAATTAAAAATAAATGTACATACACAATAGATTTAGATAGAGTAAAATTCTGAAATCCATACCCTTCAAAAGGAGACTTGCCTAACTAAAGGATCTTACAGAAATAAAAGTTTTTATTCATAACACCAAAAATTTTACACATCACTCTTAATCTGTACCTGTCTGTGCTGGTTATAGGGGAGGTTGGGCTCACAATCTTAATGCACGGGGAGAGGTCGTGGAACAGAAATGTCACACTATTCTCTAAACATAACACTTAGTGCCAGTCACCACCATACACTCCAGCTCCTTGCTCCCTAAGATATTTGGCCTCCCAAGGAAGGACATTAAGTTAGGAACAGAAGACAAACATCACTCTTACCACAGGTTTGTTGCCGGAAAACTGAGGCAGAGGGCACTGGGTGGCGTTCTCCCATTCCAAGTAGTGGTCTTTACAGTAAGTGACATTGTGAAGCAGCAGACTCTGAGGCGTCTGACCCCGGACAAGCTGACTTAAAACAAAATTGTCCATCAGTGATATGCTTCTTCGCAAGGTTTTTATGCATCTGTAGGTTTTGCACTTGTAGTCAAGTGCAGATTCAGAGATAACTGAAAGTTCAAGAACTGGCCGTTTCAGTCCTTTTCTGCTCACTTGTTCAAATTACCTTTCCCTTAGCTTTGCCATGACTTTTTGACCAAATGCAAGAAGTGTGCTATAGTATTGGTGTATATCAATGCAACTGAAGCGTGGAGAGTCCTTGCATAGAAAATGTACATTTTGCTGTTTGTGGCAAAATTGGAATGATTTCCAAGCTCTTTGCAGCAGACACTTTGACCTCCTCTGTATATAAGCATCTGGTATTGTTTGGAAAAATAATAAAATTTAATAGTGACAGACCTTCTCTTTCATTTGCTGCTTTCTAAATGCATATTTCAAAGCTGCAAATAAAGTTGGAGGACTGTAATTAGATGTATACTCTCTAAACATATTAAATTCTAGCTTCTTTACTTCTGAGAGTGTTAATGATGTGAATTTTCCCCAACATATCAATCCTGACCGTTCAGTTTAATGGGTTTCAGCTGGTGTTTATTATGGGTAGAGAAGGAAGATTTTTATGGGGAAGCCCTGTTTGTTTCATATTGTTTCACTAAATTTTCCATTCCATACTTTGGCTCTACAACACTATCCTCTCCTGCCCACCAGTCTAACAAGAGACAAGGAGATAAGAAGTGCTGCCACCTTTTACACAGCAGTGTCATCATCTGCCACCACTTCAGACAGAAAGACAGAAAAGGATGTAGGCTTGAGTGAGTTTTGTTCGATCGTCTGGGAAGGAGGAAGAGATGGGAAGTGGATGATGAAAACTTGGGGTTTGACTCCTTTTCATAAGTGGGGTAGTGACAGGGATGTGCTGGAGGAGGAAGGAGCTGCTCTGCTGCAGTGTGCTCACTGAATGCTGTCGATAGGGCTCTTAAATAAGTATCCCCTTTTCAGGGACATCTCATGCTGAGGACTGTCGATGAGCGGGCTAGGCAGAGGGAGCTTACAAAGCTGAAGGTTTAAAGGGTTCATTATAGTTGTTCGAAATTGGATTCTAAAAGATTTGCCAGAGAGAGAGGAGAGGGGGCCATTTTAATCAGGCCAGGATACAGTTTGCAGCATTTGTTTGCAGCTGTGCCGCTGAAACTTGGGGCTAATTAATTGGGCCAATTTCAGGAACTCTCAGAGCCAAACTGAATGTGGCAGCTCTCAAGTCGCGAGGTAAGAGGTGGGAAAAGTAAGATGCCACAAAACGTCATACCAGCCTGTTCCCTACCCTGTGGTGATACCAGGTACCTGCAGAGAGCAGGCACACGTACACACCACTGTGGAAGTTCCCCTGTGTCCGAGAGTAGCAGTTGGATGTACTTTAGTGGTGGGTGACACCATCTGAATGTTTTATGAAACAGACATAAAAAGTGTATTATGATAACACCAAGTGACTCTGTCTTCAGATCCAAAAAGCTTTGCTACAGCTGGAGGCCATGTATACCCTAGATAGTCAGCAGGGAAAGATCTACGGAGCTCAACAGCCTTTGCTGAGGGCCTTGCACTGAACATGTTTGAGGGTTGCCTGGGGCTTTGGACTAGGTCTGGTTTGGTCTTGTGAATGGGTCACTTAGTGCTTGCCACAGAGAGATGCGTTCCTGTCACTGTGGTTTCATCCCAAAACACTTCGTTATGCAGTCCTGGGATTGTGCCATTTATGAGCCAGACCTATGAGGTGAGGAGGACTACGAGATTTACCTCAAAACTGCACTCCCTATCTGAACCAAAATGTGAATGTAGATGCTTCACTGTAGATTCACATTAACGCTATTGCAAAGAAATGAGACAGGGAAATGGGGGAAAGCACCAAGGGTGCAGAAAATGTCAATGGAGCTGGAAACAGAAGATGGAAATGTTTTCAGCACTAGGCACCTTCTTGCTCTCACTCTGCATCAACAGGGGATTTATCAGCCCATGAGATTCTCAAGGAGGCTTCCTCAATTCTGCTGTCCCTCAACGTAAGAACCAGAGTCCTGTACCAAGAGGATGGACCTTACTTTTGTGCTGAGGAACAGGGAGACAATCAGCAACCTGGCAGTCATCTCTCTCCATAGAAGCCACCTGACTGGGCTAGTCATAAACTGGAGTTGTTTGTTACTGTAGTCATTTAAACCTGGTTTGTAACATAGAGCCTACTGCTACTGGACAGTATTTCTCTATGGTAAGGAAATTTGGGGTTCTTTTGCCCACAGAGAAAGAAGGTCAAAACTGCCTTACATTTATGGATGCAGAGGAGCATGGGTACAGGTACATCCACCATAGGGTAGCTGACATGCTGAAAGCTTGTCAAGCTTGTACAAGCTTGCTTGCAAAACACCTTGCAAGAGTTATGATCATAAAGTCTATCCTTCATTAATTCGAACCCACAAAGGTTTGATTCCTAATCTGTAGAGCCCACAGTTGCCAGGGATGACAGTTCATTCAGACCAATGCAGGTGCAGACTGTAAGATGGTAGAAGAGTGGCTGAAAGAACTAAAACACACTTTTAATCCTCAGAAAAGAAGTGGTGTGTTTTAATTTCAAAATTCTTTCATTTTGCAATCTGTCTTCAAGCAAAGATCCCAGCAGTTTGCTAATAGAAAAGCACAGGATTATAGATTTGAATCGTGTTTCATCTCAAACTGTGTACATATACCCCATGTCATTTATGCAGACACTTACCCCATACCATGGGTTATTAAACCAATGAAGAAAACCACAAAGAGGTGATGCGCATACCAGAACATCTCATAGCATGACCTTCTGATGAGCTCAGTGGATGAAGTCATGATCAGAATTAAAGCCACAGTTATCACAACTCCAGTTATTCCAGCTACAGTCGTTAGTAGCTCTCCTGTTGTGTTCTGGAATAAGAATACAGTAGTTATTGTTGTTATAATTATTATTTTTATTACTGATTCTGTTACTATTGTTACTGTTGCTGCTATGACATATGAAGCTACAATCTAAGATGTATTTTCAGCATAGGAACAAAACCAGAAGACATGGAGGCAAAGCAAACCACAGAAAAGCATGGAAAAATATCCTTCTGCTCTGTTTCCACTCAAACTTGTCCCAGACAGATGTGTAAATATTTGCTGCCACTTACTTGTTTCAGAAATTGAAAGGAGGAAATTAGACAGTCTCATTAGTACTTTTATCTATTTTGCCTATGTAAAAGTGTCTCAGAAAAAAAGGAAACTGATTAGAGAAATTAGAAGATTAAACCCGGAGATATAATAAGCAAAACAGCACTAGAAACGAGCTTATTCGTGTGAGGGTGATAAAGTGAGGTGCCAAGACGCCTGCAATCATAAAGGTGTGGGGCTGGGGCTCTTTTGTGCTTAATTTACTTCAAAGTTTGTGAGTTTTTAGCAGCCCTGAAATGATGTATAAAAATGCATGCTCTCATTCACCTAAACAGCATACCTCATTTAACCATTCCTTACATTTACATGTAGTTACACTGGATAATACTTGGTTTTATTTTTTAAAGGACATATTTATATTTACATTTTGATGCTTGTCCGTGATGAAGCATTAATATGTTAGGCTAGAACATGTTCCTTCCTGTTCGTGACTCACAGACATCAGCACAGGTCTGTTACATCTGTCTAAACCCACCAAAATAAGCTGAAGTGAGAATGAAGATGTATTTTGAACACAAGAGTCAGATGCTGGTTTCAGTTATAAAGTGCAATTCGTGAAGAACAGCAGTAAGAATCTCACACGCAAGATGAGACTCAAGCTAAATACGCCAGCAGAGTGCAAATGAAGTCCTCATTTGGCCTGCAAAGCATATATATCTGTTTTCCTGGTGCTGATGTGCAAGAATGGAGTAGCTCAGCATGCCTTCTGGATCCTGAGTTGGTTCTACAGCTTAATACACTAGGAAAAAAAAAAAAAAAGCCCTATATTGTACTTGTAAAGTGCACTCATTTGATATGGAAATCCTAGAGGTGATAAAATTCCACAATGCCATTTTTACAGGCACTTTTTACAGTAAAATCATTCTTTCAAATGTTCACACTTGACAGCACACAGTACATTTTCAAATTGGTGCCTGTGAAGAGTGTGTTCAGATCCTATTACATATTAACAGGATTGATCTAGGTGATATTTTGAACATTTCCACTACAGTGGCTAGTTTGAATGTTGAGATGAAACAAGGAAAAATGTCAAAGACACTTAGTACATTGCTACTACAGGGGTAGGATGAAACTGAAAAGAAAGCCTGAATTGTTGCTCTCAGAACTTTCTTCTCTGAAGTTAGAAGCAATCTTTTATTTGCTTTCCTTCACAATTTATTAATTCTGAGTGTAGCTACTGAGACACAAGTGGGCGATAAAAGAAATATAAATATTAGAGGTTAGAGCAAAATCTAGGCTGTAAATTGGAAGGTAATTGTGGGGCATATTACTGTGAGAAATGTGGGAAAGGATCTCAAAAAACGTTAGCCTTCCTTCTCAGGATCTTAATGCTAATTAGAGGCCTACGTCCCAATTATATCACCATGGGAAGGCATAGTGGAGAAAAAAATGCATGCTAAAAGATGGTAGGTTCTCATTCAGGGCTTGGTTCTGCTCTTGAGGGGCATCTCACATGCATGCAGTGGGAGTGGGCACTGGGTGTACTGAAAGACCCTGCGGCCGAGTCCTTGGCTCCCTGTCCTGTTCTGATAGACCTGACCGCTTCGTCAACTCTAACATCAAGACTTTTGTATTCATACCATTGAGAGCATTAATTTGTTTGGTTTTCTTCAAAGTTGAGAATTGTTTACTTGTTTGTTTTGAAAGATGCAAAAATTACGAACTGGAAAGGAACTGAGAAAAAGCAAGACAAAATGCCTTGTCATCATCCTACTGATGGTTGTCCAGCCATCATCTCACTTCATTTCTTGTTTCAGTGGAACACACCACTGATCAAAAGAGCCCCAATTCATGGAGTTCAAACAGTCTTTATTGCATGCTGGCTATGTGGGAATTTTCTAAAGAGCAGAAACAATGTGTGTGGGAGTCTCACCGGGGTCATTTCAAACCCTAGAGTATATAACATTACACAACAGTATACACAAGCACACATATGACATAAATGTGATGTATAGCACAACAGAATAAGGAAAAAAACTGATTAACTTTTGCGTATTTTACACGTACACCTTGCAGAAAGGGTCTGTTTGTGTTATGAATATTATAAAGAAGAGCTTGCAACGCTGTTGTGGGATAGCCAAGGAAGTGGACAGGAAGTAGTCACTTTTTTCCCCAAAGCCAGCAAAACCATTCATTTGCAGGGCTAAGGTGGCCCTAGTCCTGCTTGGCTCTGGGGAGCACACAGTGGCACTAGTGTCCCTGTGCACTGTTTGCTCTACACAACAAGACTCCTGGTGGTTTTGCTCATGCTCTTCCCTGGGCAGCACACTCGATGTGCAACAGAGTCGAGTCAAGCCTTGGATTGGGAAGATACTGCACGACCACAGGGAGAGACAAATCAAAACTGTGAAAATAATATTGCCAAGTGCTATTGCTCTTGGAGTTTTGTTGGGGTCTTTGTTTAGTTTAGTTTAGTTTAGTTTTTTCTTTCTGGAAATAAGTTGTGTCTGTTCCATGTATTGATAGTATAATTAAGTTTATTTTTTTTGTAAATTCTTTGCAGGTTCATTTCATTGTCTACTATTCACAACAATCCTTATCCTCCCCTCCTCGTCACCCCTCACAGCTGTCTCCTGACAAACTAATTAAAATACTGTAGGCATTTCTTTGAGCTTAGTAACCTGAAAATTGCAGCTCTGAGTAAGTGTTTTCAGCTGAAATTGAGGTTAACCTTTGGCAGCACCTTCTCGCTCTGGTTAAAAGGCTTTGAAATACAGTTTTACCGACAATAGAATCCACAGAGGAAAACTTTTTAGATTAGGAAAACCAAAAAGTGACAGCTTACCGTTTCATAGGTCCTGATTGGGTTCAAGTAGCTTTCATTTGGGCTCTTGCCAAGGCCAGAAAGTTTATTCCGTAATGCCCCGGCTTCCTTTGACTGGCTGGTATGATACCGCTCGATGTTGATCAAGTGGGCAATAATATGGATGGCTGCAGGAGAGAAAGAGTGGTGTGAAATAACAGACACATTGGTACGTGTCCACAGCGCCAGAAGGAACTTCATTAAGCACACTACACACTATTTGAAAAGCTTGGGTGTCAACTGGGAGCTTTGCAGGGGGTAAGCTGACAATAAAAGGAAAATTTTATCAAATGCGTGTCTGATAGGAAGCAACTGCTTCACATTGGAGAGAAGAGGAACAGCTCTAGGGTCACCTCCCATGTTTACAGTCAAGTGCCCTGCAGTCTCCAGTGTCATGCAAGGAGGACCTCTTGAGACACAATGTAAAGGTGTTTGCCTCTGATTTTAAATCGTTCAAAACAAGGTAAACTGATTAAAATCCCTATTTTTTTATTAACATACTAGGATGTGCCATGGTCTAATACTGCTATGCAGGACACTTAACTTGCCCATTTTAGGCACAGACCAGTTTGCAACTTGCACTGGGGATATTTAAGAGATGCATCCAAAATCTGTCCCCTATTAACAAGTAGCTATAGGATTACTGTATGCGGGTAGGTCCTGTGGAAGCCAAAGGAAGTATGATTTTAAGGGAGAAGCCTGAATCACAGCATTAGATCTGATTTGTCCTGGGCATCATATATCACCTCTACTTCTGGCCTGCTCTCAAAGGGGATATGAAATGGTCAGCAGAAAAAATGCCTTATAGTGAAGTAAGAACTCCCCTGTAATTATTTTCCTGAGTGGAAAGATGATAATTTCAAATGAGGGAAAAAGGAAGGACTTTGTTTTATTTTTGGCTAATATAGATAAAGCCATAATCAAGCTAGGTGCAGAGTTTCAGTATTCAATATGAGAGATTCTCAAATCCATTACAGAAAAGTTGTAATTAATGCAAAATATTAAATGTCAAAGGATGAAAAAATGACAATGAAAAACAATTATATGTTTACAGTAGAGCTATTAGGATATGCTATTTCTAGTTTTTATAATTAGTTTCCCGTTATCATCTCTCCTTCAGTGTTTATCTGTTCCTGTCTCTGACCATTTAAAAAGCCTTTCTAAAAGGCAGTATTTGTAGTAAACCAAATATGAGCTGCTTCCCTGAACAATATTACCGCAAAAGAAGATTATTTTTCCCTTTTTCCCTTTCTTTTTTCTTCTTTTTTTCTCTTCTCTTTTTCTCCTCTCCTCTCCTCTCCTCTCCTCTCCTCTCCTCTCTCTCCTCTGCTTTGGTGACACCCCACCTGGAGTGCTGTGTCCAGCTTTGGAGTCCTCAACACAGGAAGGACATGGACCTGTTGGAACGGGTCCAGTGGAGGGCC